GTATTTATATATATATATATATATATATATAAATTTCCTTTTTTTTCTTTTTTCTTCTCGACATTTATATATATAAAATCACATAGATGGATTTTGCTCTGTTTAAATGCTTGAGAACTTATCCAGAATTGCAATATTTTTTATCTATATATATTGCTTTTTATGAAGGTTCCTTTGCAACATTAAGAAAAATCTCAGCAGGTGTAATGATTTGATGATGACAGCATAATTCTAGGGGCTGATACCATTGTTTCATTAGAAAAGTAGTGAGTCAACTCAAAATTATAAATATATTCAACCATGCATTTGAGATAAACTAGAGTATTAGACAAAAAACTAAACTGACAAAAGGTCAAAAACCATATGCCAGTAGTTATATTTAGTTTTAGAAATAAGAAATTTAAGAGGTGCTACAGTATCGTCCAAAAATTGAGTAATGGATTACAGAATTATAAAATGTATCAAGGTAAACAAGGATGAAATTTTATTATAAGAAAAGTATTAGTGTAGGCAGTGCATGTAGGACTGGATGTCATTACCTCGGAACCAGTAAATATAAAACCATTAAAAAATAAGTGTATGCAGAAAGCTGGATCTTGTTAAAGGTAGTTGATTGTAGTGTAGATGCATTTCCTTTTTTTCAAGAGTTCCCAATACTTTTTTTGTCAAAAGCCCAAATTATCAACCTTTGGACATTCTTATTTAACATATATAAGGTCAGTATGTTTTATGTGTAGAACAGACAGTTGTAACTGTAGATGATGACAATGATTTTTTTTTTTTATATATAGGGCACTTAGTAATGATCTTATAGAAACTGTTAGTAATCAAAAATTGTTATTGTGAAAAAAATTCCATGTTCTCTCAGTACCAAATATTTTCAGGATGTCAATGAAACTGCCAAGGCTAAGTTCAACAATGGGAAGTATTTCCACAAGCCATTAAACAAAATGTCTTCACTGCCATCCAACTTCACCTTCCGAGGGCAGAAGGAAGTGGTTGATGCGTCTCGAAAGGAGCACAGTAAGTCCCACTTTTCTTACAAGAATATGGCTTTCTTGCATGTATCTTGGTTATACAGTATATTGAAATAGTGATTATTATTAGCAAGCTGCAGATCATTTTCCAAGTATGGAGCTATTCAAAGAGAAAGAAACCTAAAATTGAGCAGAAAGTTAGTTGATTAAATTTGAATATAATCCAAGTAATGAGTAATGAATTACATGCAACAGATGCAATTACTTGGCTGGTAAGATTAGATATTCATAAACACATAAAAGCCCAATCACTGATTCACTTTATTTTACACTACATAAACCACTTTAATTTCAGACTATTCAAACATACGTTTATGCCTCATCAAAGACAACTCTAGATTCCACATAGATGATGGTAGTTTCAAGCCAAAATTCCCAGTGAAATAGTTGGTTGACATGTAATATGAGGAAACTGAAACTTCACACAGAAGACCATCTTTTTTATGAGTTCATGTGTACAATTTTCATATTAAGGATAATTATTAGACAGGTATTTATCTTTTTGCATAGGAGGATACCTGTTATGTGTTCAAGGGAAGGCCTCAGGCTGCTCAGATCAACAGACCGTCCTGGTAGGATAATGGAATTGACGAGTTCATTATGGCTACAAATTATAACAATTGCCAGGATAAAAGACTTTAGATGTTCTTTATATTAATTTTGTTCAACGAGACCAACTTGAAGAATTTTATACCAGACTTAATGATCTGGAAGAGAGAAAATGTGTATAAATAGCTATAAGAGTGATGGGAAAGTGGCATAATGACTTTAACAAACTCATTTAGAGTCTCAGCAAACTTTTGAACTATAAACACATTTGTCAGTATATGTAAAGAGAAGAAGGATAAGAACTACAAGGAAAGTAACAGTAAATAGTCTTGTTACAGTAGCAATAGTATCAGAAGTAATAAAAATGGTAGTGGTCATGGTAGAAATAGTAGTAATAGTAGAAAGGTTAGAAATTGTTGTGGTAGCAGTAGTTATCAAAGATAGAGTTGTGATATCAATCAGTATATTTCTTAACAGTAATAGTCCATCACTGTCTTTGATAATTTATATTTATTATTTGATTACTTGTATGTTCAAGAATATTATTGTCTTCCTCAATTTTATTGCCTTCCTTCTAATAAATTGAATATTCTGCAGTATACAGCATTTTCCTGGAGACAAGACAGCAGCAAAGGAGTAATGGCAACAATAATATAAAAAGTAGCAAAAACTGTAGGTATATACCTCTAGATATTAGATAGTATTGTGTTACCTATTCTGTATAATAGTTACCAATACTTCTTTTCTTTTTACATTTCATCAGATACTCCCCCATCTTCCCCTGGAACTACAGACAAGCAAGGAGAGGCAGCATACACCATCCCAAGTATAAACATTAATGGGATGGGCTATGAAGGAGAGGGGGAACCCTCAACTCCACAACTGCCTCCATTCTCCCATGAATCTGACCTTTACAATCCCAACGTGAAGAAACCATCACCTGATGAACCTGAGAACAAGGTTGCTATCACAGATCTTCGTCAGGTTCCACCGGAGCAGCACCATGGGGGGGCAAGACCTAGGTCAAGCCCTCCTTCACAAGAACATGTAGAAAAAGAGGATGAAAAGGTGGCAACTAGTGCAGCACCTTTAGCAGAAACATGGGAAGGAGATGATGAAATTAGTGGAAGTGAGAGTATTGGGCTGGGACCTAATTCACCAAAGCTTCCAGAACCTGGGAGTCCTTCAACACAGCAGGCTATGAGGCAGTCTCGTTGGTACAACTGCCGAAGGGTAAGTAATGGGGGTGGCCGCAAGGTGAGCTTGGATGACTCTCTCACTCAGTCACTGATGGCCAGCTTTGATGTGCCAGAACTTGGAGGACATTTAGATATGGATTCTACTTCATGCTCAGTGTGCTCTAGTGAAGAAGCATCAGCTAATTCCCACCGGTCATCAGGGCCTTCTCCATTGGCAACTACAACATCTGGACCTTCCACAGCATTGGATAATACACAAGTTCTGAGTCCCTTTCCACAAGTACTTCCACCACCACCAAAAGTTTTTGCTGATGATGATGATGATGATGATGCTACATTGGCATCAAGTACAGACTCTTTTACACTGGAGGGCTGTCCACCTGACTTGCCTTCACCTGATGCTTCCTCTGGTGATGATGCTGGAGGTCTTTCCAAAACTATATCACCACATTCTTCTCCCTCTCCCCATTTATCTTCTCCTCTAAGTGATGCACCTCCTGTTTCATCTAATAAAAACCTTAATATTCAATCATCAAATTCTCAGAGTACCTCTCTCTCCACACAACTATCACCAACTGCAATTTCAGATCCACTTCCAGCACCACAATCCTCTTCAATGGGTGAACTACCACATTATGTGCATCCATTTAGTTCCCTTGATGAACTAAGAGTTGCAGGGTATGTCCAGGCTTCTTCTCATGCCTCTAGTCTCAGACTGAAAAACTCCCACCCTCCCCACAGTGAGAGTAGCCAGCCTAGGTACACAGAAACCATTGGGTTACAGCTGGGAGTTTCAAAGCGTTCCACATCTCATTCTGGGTCACGTGGATTTCCTGCTGGACAGAAATGTTACATACGTGGACGGAACCAAAGTAGACCCTCTGGCCCCAAGTCCTAGTGGGAACTGTGCTAGTAGGGATTGTGTGCCATCCAAGCTAGTGATTGCCAAAAAAAAAAGAAAAAAAAAAAACAATCTGCTCATGAAGTTCTCAGTTGATGTATTTGAGCACTTTGCTATGTGCCAGATGTTACATTATCAAAAGTGTTGCCAAATATATATTAGAATGTATTTGAAGTTACCTATGTTTTTTATATGAAACTCAGTAGTGTATACTGGCTTTAGAACATTTGGTGGTAATGACATATGAGTGATATCATCCCAGAGATTAGGTAAGTTGCAATAGTCAAGAAACTCCAGTTACTGTAGAAAACAAGTGCTTGCAGTGGGTACAGATTTTGCCCAGCTTATCCTAAGATTCATAAACACATCATGGTCATATTCATGTTATTAATTTGTTGAAGTTCTTCATTGTCTCTATTGGGTCATGCATAATAGCAGTTAGTTGCATTAATATTATGTATTGCATTATGACTTGTATTGTGTGTCAGATAAATATATATCAGTGAAGTTGAATACAAAGAGAATAAAACTGGAAAAATGGTGAAGGCTGTATATAGGATGGAAAGTTTATAAAGTTTTATAGTTGTAATATAAGGCAGAGCTGTGATTAGCCATACAAATACTATAAACCAATAATGATAGCTTTATTGAATATGTACAGAAAATATACAGTTATAGAGCAAATAAATTATTTGAGAAAACTATCAAGAAGCCACCAGGGTCCTTTGGCCTTATACCTTCAGCAATATTCTTAGCAGCTAACATTTAAAGGTGACTGCTATTTCTTTACAGTGTGAGGATACAGAATTTGGATTCACTTTTTAATTTATTTTTAGTTGCCTACTACATTTTAATCATTCTTCTAGCTCATTGTTACATATCTACATTACCATAACGTATCCTTTTTATTGAAAATATATTATCAATTTTGTTGTGATTATTTCTTATCAAGTCCAAAGGCTGTATAAACATAAGCAAGCTAATATTGTTTTCTCCTGGTGGCTTTGTACAGACATGGAAACTGAGTGATGCAACTCAGCCCCAAAGCTTGAAGCTTCACATACGGTTAATAAAACAATTAAATATCTTCATTCAGATCTTGGCCATTTTGATGACGGGCAGATGTAATGTATCACCATATATTATCATCTGAACAGTTCAAATCTCGTTCAGACAATCACATTGTAGGGATAGGAGTTATGTCTAGCTGGTGACCATAATGGTGTTCAGTGACCTAAGATTTTTCTTGAGTAAGGTGGTCAGCTTGAGGTGATAAATTCTACATACGAGTTGTTGTTGGTCAATCGTAAGTAGGGCTTCAGTTTTCTGGGTTGTCTTTCTCCTTTTTTCTTGTGAGAAATAGATATATATATAAGCTAAAACAACAGTTGAGAAGCAGAGAAACAATATCAGTTTATTGATAGTTTATAATTTGCTATAAATATAATATAGTTCCAGCAACAGAAAAACAGATTTATTAAATTGATTACAAAGGGACACACATACATGCAAAACCTTTTAACTCAGATGTTGTTTCAGAATGTATATTAGATTCAAGTTATATATTGTTTGTGCCAGAGGCAAGCTGTATTTTCTGTCCATTTTGACTTTTCTGGTACTAAAAAGTTTTGGTAACTGTATCCCTAAGATAGTCACAGTGATTTAAGGTCAATATGCCTTAATCTTGTCATTGTATGGTGCTAGAATATGATTATTGTGGTACAGAACTGATACAGTTACTGAAAGTTCAGAATGGGTAGAGAACAAAGCGTACATCAAGACACTTTGTCTCTTTTTTTTTGTTTGTTATTTATGCATTACAGTCTTGCCCGGGGATCATCACCCCCTGCAAAATGTAGGAAAATATTTAAAATCCGTAGGCCATTTACCTGACAGGACAGTGTTTTATCACTTGAGAAGAAGTATATCAAGTTTTGCCTGTTCTTTGAGTTGAACTTCAAAACATACATTGGCAAATAATTCACAATGACCATAGTAATCATCTAAAGTATCTTTGTGCCATTAAACCTTTTCTTATTTTAAAAAATCATAGAATATCCTAGGTCCAGCCTAAATATTATGATTTTACAGTACTTAATCTCCATTCCTGTTTTAACGTGCACTATAGACAAAAACTTCCCTCATTGGCCATATACCAGCAGATTATCTTTAATCCAAACTTTCACTTTGTATCTGAAAGTTTATCTCTTTCTGTAGCTTTTAACTAATAACTTACTACATTTTGTCCTTTTTGACCTGCCTGAGCCTTACAACTTCTTAGGATGTTCTTAATGAGGTCCTTTTGTATGAACTTTGAGTGTATTGTGGGAGTAAAATTCTCCAGCAAAATGACAAATCTTTCATGACAGCATGGTGACTATGAAGTGATGTCAGTATTTTTACTGTTGTTTTGTTGGTTCATTGAATTAGAAAGGAGAGAAAGTGTAAAAACTTGAACATGACATAATTATGTCTAGCTTGTAAAAGTTACCTTCAGATATTTGGATTATTTGCTGGGATATTTTAAATGAAAAATAATACACTGTACCTCCTTTTTGCATACTATTCATCACTGGAAAACTTGGTTGGGTTTGTGTAAATTGAAATTTGTTGGCCTATCTTTTATTTTATTAGTGAAATAATGTCTATGGGCAGCAGTCATACTCAGTTATGGTTCATAATTTATCTTGGAATTATTACTGAATATTGCTTTAATAGCAATGTAAGATAATATAATGTACACTGTTGATTGTTTACTATATAGTCTATTTAAACATAATCTGATATTCATAAAATATTTTTTCTCCAATCATAACAATTTACACATATGATTTACATTAGCAAGCCTTACTTCTAATCAAAGGAGTAAATTTCAGCTAACTTTTGTTGTATATTCATATTCTTATGTTGTGCTTTTGGTGTATGGGTGATAGCATAGAGCATTTACAGAAAAAAAATGCTACCTTACAAAGAATTACAAGATAAAGGTTTTTTCTACAGACCTGTTTATTTACATGCATTTGGATTTTAGATTGATGAATTTCATGCAGATTTATAGCAGTATCATGATGTTTGATTAATAGATGATTATGTTCATGCATTATCATACAACATGTGAATGTTCATGCTTGTGCTTTCCTACATATGTTTGTATATAAATATAGAGCAAGTTCTTTAACCTGTTAACAATTTATCATTGAAAAATGTACTCTGGAAAGTACTGGTGAACATGGACCTGGGTATGGAAAATATTTCTATATTTTTTAATAATGTTAAAATGAATTTTCAGAAACTAGATAAAAAGACATTGACCAAATACCATATGTAAAATATAAACCAGACACCACTTATGCAACAAATGCCACATTTAAACCAGACCATTGATGCATCAAATACCACATACAAACCAGAGACAACACATGCCCCCCCCCCCTGGACGCCTCTGCCACAGACCACAGAAGCATCACCTAGCACATATGAATTATAGACAACAAAGGCAACACACATAAACTAGAGACCACACATGCACCAAAGACAAGATATAAAAAAAAACACATACACACCACAGACCACATTAACCACAGACCATACTTACACCACAGACCACATGAACTATAGACCACACAGACACCATAGACCACTTATAAACGAAGAGACCACATATGCACCAGAGACCACACAAGCACCACAAACCACATTACATTACACTGTGTATTACGAAGTCATGTTGAGAATTTATTAATAGGAAAATGTAAAGCCGGTCCAAAGATAATCAAGAAACAACTGCTGCCCACAATGGTAAGAGTCAAGTTTTTTTTCTCTTTAACTCCTAAAATCTATGCAAACTACCAAGATATTATTTAACACTGTTAGTCTTGATGACTTGAAAATAAAATATAACATTTGGTGAGTATGGAATAATTTATGTAATAGCCATAAAGTTTCAGAGCAAGTTCAAAGTGACCTTTTTCATATAGGTAACATTATAGATAACTAAAATAATAGAAAAATAAGAAACACATTATCTATTTATTGATAGAAAATATATTACTGACCCAGAAATATCAGGCAAATTACCAAACATCTGCAAGGTGGTCAGCTACTCACAATTTATAGCACATTTCTCTCTTTTCTCATTCAATGGGTTAATATATGGCAGACTGGTGAAAGGCAAGTGTGAATTTTCTTGTTTGTCATTCAATCATCAATAATTGTTAACTTTATAACTTGTCTCTGACTGCTTGATTAGGAGCTTAATTATTTTTCCAAATAAGGTATTTTGTGTTGCATGTCATTCAGATTTGCTAAAAAGGTATTGTGAAAAACCATGGTGTTATTTTTATGCATTGAAATTGTGCCTTTTACTATGACTCAAACTCTATTGATGGCAAGAAAGGTGAACATAAGTTTTTGAAATCATATTTTTGACTATCCACAGCCTAAGTAAGCTTTCTCATACATGCATCTTTAAACCCTATATGAAGCCAAGAGATTGGATATATGTTACTATAAATATGTGGCATTAACCTAGAGTTTATCTCAAGCAAGACCTTAGCTACTGAGCCAGTGATGACGGCAGTATAGATATTTCATTTTGAATCATGTTTTGTTTCAAAATTATAATTAGTTTATCTCTTTTTCTTAGTTTCTTATTATTGTAAAAGTTATGAGTAGGTGCTGTTCTCATAATTTCTGCCATTCTTCATTTATGAACTCCGTAAATGCCTGAACATGGTTTTTGGAACTGGAGCAATAAATATGTCATTTAGAGATGAGTAGAAGCATTGATACACTTTGTGGTTTGGGAGAAACAATAACTCGTATACATTTATCTCCGCTACATAAGTTTTGTAGCATTGTGATAGAATGAAACGTAATTTTGAAAAGTCTTTTAGTATTAGAATGTTTGTAATATAGACCCTTTTTTTAGTTGACTGATGATCTGTAATAAGTTTTATAGTGTTTTTATCCCTAAGTTAAGAATATGACTGAAATCCTCATATTGTAATTATAAACCTGTTCTTGGTTTAACCAAGTCTGTTGTGTATATTTTTATCATGAAACTTTAGAGAATATAAGTCAGACAGCTGGTTGTGCGAGAAGTGTAATATATCCAGCAGATGAAACATTGTTTTCTTACATTTCATCTTCATCCCTCATAAAGAAAATCCTTTCCATTAGCCAGAACTCTATTCCCTTTTGAGCAAGTCTTTATCATATGCAGGAAACATCCTTCTGACCAGAACCTGTCCCTCCTTCCAAAATCCTTCTTGCTACCCGCATCCTTTTCTATGACTTTCCTTTCCAAGAGAACCCCCCTCAATCTTATCATTTGCTTTATTCCTTAAAAGTAAACTTGTACCGTAGATATATGTCAGAGCTTAATCACCAAACCTATGTATCCTTAAGGTCATTCTTTTCTGAAAGTAAATGTTATCCCATGAATTTATTTTTTCTCTCATCAGAATTCATTACCTCCACAACACTCTTACCCCTTCATTAGAGCATCATATAACCACCAGAGCCTTAAACTCTTCCAACATGATGTCATATCTTCTGAAAATATCTTGCATTATCTACCAGAACCCTTGTAGTTTCACAGAGATGAATGATATTTCCCTGTTAATCTTTTTCATAAATGAAACAGCCTTCCATGTTCATTTTGTTATTATATTTTGTTTTCCATTTTGCTGTCCAGTGAAAGTATTAAATATTTGTTGCAGTCTAGTCTGTAAAAGATCTTCCTAGTGTCAAATAGCTACAAGAAATTGTTGACATTTGTAAATGCAATGTTACTATAGTCACCCTATGAAACTAGACTATCTATAACTTTGCTGTATTTATTTATTACAGTTAATAATTTGCTGAATTTTGGCATTTACCTTACTTCATATACTTCAACTTGGTTTTCTGAAACCTTAGGAATTAGCTCTCATTTTGCACATAATAAATGTCCTAAGTTCATTCCTTCTTATCCTTTTTTGTAAGTAGCTTCTTGTATCATCCCACAACAGGAAACAACTGATCGTCTCCAATACTAACTTTAATAATTTTCTGATGACAACCTTCTTTCTGTGTTGGGATGCTAGATTCCACCGGCACCATCCACTCATATAATTTGCATTTTTCCCATTTGACTCCAAATGCAAACATTAGAAGTCTTGTCAAATACCAAGGACAAAAGCCTTAATGGTTGGTTGGAACTTGGTTGAATGACAATTGTTCCTTTCTTGTTATTCTTAAGCATTGGGTGACTTTCAACATTACAGGGAAAGATATTAATAAATAGAGAAGCTTGTGAACAAACCCTTGCAACTGTAATTTAGTAAAAATTTGATCTGTTTAAATATTTTAGGTATCCATATGTTAAAGTATTAATAGAGGACCTTGTTCACATTCTTCAAAAAAAATCTTTTTTACCTGCATTTTGTCAAGCTCCTCAAAGATGGTTTTTAAATGTTCTGGTCTCACTCATTCTATGATCAGGGACGCTCAGTTTTTACTTCTTACAAAAAATAAATGTAAATAGATTACATTTGTTTTATTATCTTTTGTAATCTCTCAAAAAATGAGCTAAATATTTATATTACTGTCTTGATTCACAGCACAAATACATAATTGCACATTACTGATAATCCCAGAAGCATGACAGGATATTTATTACGTTATTTTCAAAGGAAATATCTACCCAAAAATGGCAAAAAATGGGATTTTGGCTTTTAAGATTTATGCAATTTTAAGACCTTATGGACTTCATAATTATCTGCACAGCTTTCAAGGCCATCACACCTTATTTTTAGTGGGGTTAAAGGTTAATAATGATGTTGCTGGACATCAAAAGTCATATAGCACTATAGAAAGGCGTAGTAGTGAGAGTGAGAGTGAGTGCTTGAGTGAATGGGTTAGGGTAGGGATCAATAAAGGTGATTAGATGAAAGTTGTCAAAGGAAGATATTTGGGATTCTGCAAGGATGTCCATAGGGTGAGGTAGGGATTAGCAGAAAGAGAAAGGGGGGTTTAAAGGCAATTAGATAACAATTTCAGGAGAAATGACAGGAAAGAGAGAATCCAGGGAAGGGGGTTGTTGTGACATAATGGAGCCATGTGATGTTGAGTGAGGTAGTACTGAAGACAAGTGGCATTAAGGAGGGGGCAGCAGTAGCATTCATATTCGTGGTCAAAGAAGAGCCTGGGTTCAGGGAACTGGGAGATTTAAAATCAGCAAGACTAGTTGATAAAGGAGCAAGCCTTTCTGACCCTAATAAAGGTACAAAATCTTCATTACTGGCCATGGTAAGCCTGGAGTATGTTGGGGGGAGAAATGGCCCATCCCTCTGTCCCCTTGAAGGGTAAGGGGCTAGACAACTAAACCATGGCCATGGCACCCCAGGCCATTTATGACTGGGACAAAGTCAGCCTTTTATTCTTTATAGTGGATAGTAGACAGGGTTGAAGAAGAGAAGGAAAAGGAAAGGGGGAGAAAAAAAGACTGCAAATTAGTGAATGCCTACGCTAGGGGAGACCCCTTACTTTGGGTCTTAGTCTCCATTTTCTAATCCCTCCCACGACAACAATGGGCAAGGGATGGGGGGGGGGATACCCTATGCAATTTATCACAACCAAAAACTTTTTTTTTTTTATGTTTTCAAAAATAAATTAATTTGGTCATACTATATCAATATTTTGGTTTTAAATACATATAGTTATTTATTTTTTTGTGTGGGGGTATTTTGTAAAATTTACAAAAAAGTTGTTCCATAAGACAGTTGTATGTAGATGTTTCCGACATCTTCCAAAAATTTCAGCTTCCAACAAACCCCCCAAAAATATGAATCTCTTCCACATACTCATATGTATGTTATACAGGGTCAGTTAAGTATAAATTTGTTTTCTCGGTTCGTTATATTTGCATATTTTTGTTTTAATTCATTATTTTTTTCTCAAAATTCAAAAATAACGGTGTGAAAATGTGCAAGTTGTTTTTATAGTTGAATTTAAAATGTATTACTAATTTTAGATGTAACTGAACAGTTCCAACCAATCAAATGTTCCACATTTTACATGGTAACCCAAAAGAACAATAATGGAAAAAAATCATCCAATAGCCAGACAATCATCTTTACTTGTACAGAGTTCTTACACAGCACATTTTACCCACCAGCCAGAATGTTGAAAGAGTACATGAAATAGATAAATTTAAAAATTCCAAGATATGTTTCCTCAGGCATCATACAAAATAGAAGTAAGGACAAACCTTTCACATCTCCCCCAGTCAAAATACTTGCTATACCAAAGGTGAAATAAGTCATGAACCTGTCAACTACATGTCTTCAGTACTATAATCTTTCAATTATTGGGAACAGTATCATCATTATTATTACCTTTGTTAAATCAAGGAGGTAATCTGATTGCTCATATTCATTAATGCGTTAATCTTTTGAGTGATGGATTATATACACGAGAAGTTTCTCAAAGACTGTAATAAAAATTCATGGGTTGGTTGGCCATGGCTTAGAGATTTGTAGAATTAGGAAAAGAACCAAATCAAGATATACAGTTAGGACCTGTTGAAGTAGCCCCAGTAGTAGTAGTAAGTAGAGTAAAGTAGTATTAAGTAAAGTAAAGTAGTTGTAAGCAAAGTGAAGTAGCAGTATTATCAAAAGGGGAGAGGGGGAGTTAACTGAAACCCCAAGTATTTAGTGTAGAAAAGTTATTATGAAAAAAAAAAAAAATCATTGATAGGAGTGAAAACCAGAGGTTTTTATGTGTAGAGGAGAAGACGATATGGGTAGCAAAGGAAAAGACACCATAGGAAAATTTGGGAGTGAACATGTAGATCATCTGAAGCAAAGGGTATAGCGAGGAAGAGGAAGGGTTGGCAGCATGGCAGCGGTAAAGATTGGTGAAGAGAATGGAATGTCTGTTGGTTAATGGTCAAAAAAAAAAAATAATAATTAAAAAAAAAATGTGCTAGACATCAAAGGTCATATAGCATTATGGGCAGGTATTGTCACGAAAAGAGTTGATTAGATGTGCTACACAGCAAATGTCAAAAGGGGATATCCGGAGAAAGGATCTGTTGTGGAATCGTGTGTATTCAGGAGGGAATGGAAGGCATAACACATCCTGACTAATCTTTGTCATTGACAGGAAATAAACTGGGGAGATGAAACCACTCCAATACAAGTATTAGGGAGAAAGTGAGACTAGACAGGAAAAGGTTTTCCAGACATGTCAGACAGGATGATTAATGCAACGAGCTTGGGTCTCAAATGTGAATGCAAGAAGGCTTAAATGATCGGAACAACTGTGGAAGGAAATGTTGCCTATTTGTGATTGGAATCATTGTTGGAAGAAGAGGGTATTCTCAGAGTAAAACGCTGTAAGGCCCCCGTCCACATGGGCGACTTTGCTCAATAAAATTTGCCTCTTTGCCAGCAAAGGCTGTCGTGGGCATTTATGCCGGTGTCCAAATGACATTAGTTGAGCAGTCAGAGCCTGGCAGTGATTGAAATAGGATCAAGTGGTGTACGATATTGATGTTATGGCAATTGACTGATGGTAAGACACGATAACTGACAGCTCGTGGGTACTACCGCACAATGTCAGTTCGTGGGTCTGACAGCACCTTCCTCCACATCCACCGATGGACTCGACAAACCGCCGATACTTCGCTAAACATTTGGGGAACTAATACGAAGCTTTGCTCGCCGTTTCTCCATTTCTAACGTCACCAGCCTAAATAAAGTACTCAACAGGTTAACAAGACGGAGGTAAGTAGAAGGATGGGGCCCTGGGGAGGAAGGAGTGGTGTTGAGTGAGATGGCACTGCGGGGAGGAGGTTAAAAAAGGAATAGTAATAAGGGAGGAGGACATTGAAAATTCAGGATGTAAATAATAATGTAATACTCTGTAAAGAGTATTGGGAGAGAGTAAGATAGATTTTTGAAGGTTGGGTAGTGAACTAAAGTGATTTGGGATGGACTGAGCAGAGGATTGCAGTATTTGTATTCTGTCATGATAGAAGGAGAGCCAGGGAACGGGGAACTGGAAAAAGGTGGGGCTACTTCATAAAGGTGCAAACCTTGATGCCCTTCATTGCCCAGCTTTTTATCCTTTCAGGACTACTCGCATGCCTTAGGAAGTGGACAGGAATGGCTGCTGAAGAAAAGGAAAGGGAGAGAATGGTTAAAAAGCGAACTAAATGTGTTAGACTTCAACGGACGTGTAGCATTGCAGGAAGGCATAGTAACGTGTAAGGTAAAGAATGGGATTCGTTAATGATTAACAGCAGTAGGATGGTACTGGATAGGTAAAGCAAGAGCAGATGAGGAAATGGGTTAGAGTAGAGATAAGCAAAAAGGAAATTAGATCAAGTGAAAGATTGAAAGAAGAAAGTGGGATTCGTAAAGATGTCTAATAGTAGGGAGGTCCGGGAAGGGAGGATAAGTGATGGAAAGCAGATATAGGGCTGTAGTAAAGCATAGACAGGTTATTAGACTGTATGGGACTGAAAGAGGAACACTGGGATGGATGAGAACTTGACATGAGATGGAAGGCGGTTGTGGGCAATACGCAAGCGGGCAAGATAAAATGGGGCTGACCGAGAGGAAAGTGATAGTTCTACAGTATATGGTTTATTGACGAGAAGATCTGACCAGAAAAACTACCAGAGGACAAAGGCCTTACATAAGAATAATAATCAGTGGTTGGGATACGGGATTGGCGCGATAGGGAAACAATGCCTGCTCATTGTTGGGGACATGAGTGGGCCACTAGCAAAACCTGTGGCACTTAGTCGGGTAGAACTAGTCGGGTAGAACGACCAATCCTAAATCCTACGGACAAGAGGGATGGCCAAGTGCATATGAGAGATAATGAGTTACTGAAGTCAGTTAATGGTTAAAAGCGAAATGAATGTGCTAGACATCTAAGGTCTTATAGCACTATAGGAAGGTATAGTTAAGGCAGATGGCAGGTGATAGTTGCTACACGTCAACTATCTAGAGTAATATTGAAAGATTAAAGATGGGGGTAAGTGAGTTGAGGGAATTGGTTATGGTGGTTTAGGTAAGGGAATTAGATCAAGTGAAGGATATTTATGCGTCTGAGGAAGGAGAACAGGTTCTCAAGGCAGAAGCGTTGAGATTCTGTAATGATGTCTAATATATTGGGAGGTCGGTGAAGGGAGGGTAGGTGGGGGAAAGTAGAGGTGCGGGCTGTAGTAAAGCGTGGATAAGACAACAGAATGTGTGGAACTGAAAGACGGACATAGGGACGGATCAGTGAGTGACATTAGATGAGCGTGTGTTAGGCAGGTGTGGCTAATACGTTAGCGTGCGAGGGCCTTCTCCTAACGTCTGTTCTGGTGAAATGGAGCTGGCCAAGAGGAGATTCATGGTTTTACAGTATGTAATGTATTATTGTGGAGGCTTGACCAGAAAGATTGCCATTGGGTATACAAGTAGGTTTTAAAGTGGGAGTAATAATCCGTGGCTGGAATATGTGAGAAGCGTGGTTGGTGTGATGTG